GGTTGGAATGCCAGTGTCATTGCCATGGCAACTATGCAAGCATCTGGCCACAGCCATCTTTGTTGCATCAATTTGCATATTCCCTCTTTATTGGCTGTGGGTGCCACCATCTTTGAACGAAGTGATGGCCAATTTGCATATTACGTCTTTATTAGATAGGATGGATTCATGGTCAAATGCAGAAAAACTTTACAATTATTGATATGTTATGATTTCTAGGAATGTGGTAAGGTAAAGGGTAGTATCTTTTCACTAAAACCTGCTTAAAATAAAAAATACAGAATTTTGCTGCCTTCCTAATGCTTTTGGTCTTTTCAGTTTGGGTCACTCTGAGTTGCCTGCCTTTTTGCTTCTCCCAATCACAAATAATATTTGACAAACATAAAATTACTCTTATTTCAGAAAACACATGACCTCAAATTGAATTAAACTAATTTCTACACGTCTTATTTAAAAAATGATATTGCCTTACAGTGTTATTTGAAACCTGCAAAATAAATTGGAAATAAGAAAGGGGAATGGTTGTTTTTCGTTTTAATTGCTTTTTTGGTAAACTGTTTTTGGTAACTGTTTTATAGACTGAAAATAAATATATGTGAGCTGATATTCTCTTACATGTGTTATTTCCTGTGTAAAGAGTTCTGGATATAATCAGATGCTGAAATATTTAAATTTCCATTACACTTGTGAGTTGTTACTATTGTGGGAAGGAAGCAGACAATGAATAGAATAGTTAATGTGAATTTTCTGAAAATTTTGGGATTTGGCATTGATGCATTATGATTTTATTTTCTACTCAACAATAGGTTTATTTCTCTGCTATTAAAGTGCATTGAGGACTTTAATTTGGGGGGAATAAGAAGATACAGTACAAATAAAATCTATAATAATAAAAGCATAATATGTTAATTAGACTAGACATTCTTTTAGGTGAAGCCAGAACTGTGAGGGAAGCCCAGGTCCCAGATGCCAGAGAAAAGCCAGTGCCGGCAGCTGGAAGAAGGCAGGCCTACTTTTGCACGAATTTCATACATCAAGCCTCTAGTCCTATATAATAAGAGGGTAATATGCAACCATCACTCCAACACACAAGGTAGCTGCCCCCGTGTTGTCAAAGATGGCCACCCCCATGTGGATACAAGATGGCCAGCAGGGGAGGGAAGTTGTGGGCTATCAGGCCAGCGGAGGAGGGCAGTTGGGAGGGACCAGGTCGCCAGGGGAGGGCAGTTAGGGTGACCAGGCCAGCAGGGGAGCAGTTAGGTATCAATCAGCCTGGCAGGGGGTGATCAGGCTGGCAGGCAGAAGCAGTTAGGGGCTATCAGGCAGGCAAGTGGTTGGGAGCTACTGAGATTGGGCCTAAACGGCAGTCAGACATCCCTTGAGGGGTCCCAGATTGGAGAGAGTTCAAGTTGGGCTGAGGGACACACACATACCCCCATGCACGAATTTCGTGTACTGTCTAAGAAAAGCTGTTGTGGGTTCTTAGACATTAATGTCTTATAAGTCAATAAAAGTGGGTATTAGTATTTAAGTTAGAACTTCCTTTTCCAAACACAGGAGGTTTAGCATTGAGCTCAGTAAATTGACTCTACTATTCTTTTTCACAGATTTTGGAGAGCTGCCTCTTTGTCAAATCAAATTCTTTATTGCCAGGGTCTGATGAAACAGATGTCAGATGGCTAATTGTAGTAGGAGAGAAAAGCCACTAACAAAGAGATAGATCAAGAACTTGGCCTTCATATTTGAGTATCATGATGTTTTATTATCTAGGGACTGGAGCCATCAGTTGTATTGCTGTCACTATTAATGACTGCACTGCAGCTTCTTGAAGTGTAGGGTTAAGTTATATGCATGTCTTATAAAATGCATTCATTACTATTTTGACTGGAGACTTAAATGAATATAACAAGGTACTGTAAGAAAATCATATTAACTATTCTAGGTTTCTTTGTTATTTTCATAAAGTAATATAGCTAGTATTTGCTTTTCACCTGCTTGCTATGGATTTTGCTTATGTTAATTTACTGTATTATGTATGGCCTTCTGAAAATGCACAGAGGCTCATAAGCACAGAACAGCAAATGATAAGAAATACCTGTGAGAGAGCAGTTGCCAGGAACCACATAAGTACTTGAAAGATTATTATTGGAAAGAAACTTTTTACAAGTAGAACAAAATAGTACCTTTTTTATAACTAATCTTTTAGGATGTGGAAGTAGTTTATTATAGGCCTTTCTTTACAACACTAATTTTCCAATATATTTTATTCTTATTGAACAATATTCAGTCCTAGGAAACCCTTGTCTATTTTTTTGTCTATGGATTTCATATAAATGGAATCATGCAAATCCCAAAAATATGTTTTTTTAGCTTCTTTTAATTAGCATACTATTTTCAAGATTCATTTATGTTATAGCATTTATCGGATTTTTTTTGTGTGTGTCACTAAATTATATTTCACTAGGGCCCAATGCAATAGAGAATTTGTGCACAAGTGGGGTGCCTCGGCCTGGCTGGCAATCAGGGCCATCTTGCCCAGTCTGGTGGAGAGAGACTGAGAGGTTGGCTGCCTGCCCTGATCTCCCTTTTTTGCCCAGTCCAGGGGGAAGGACTGTGGGAGGGTCACTGAGCAATTGAGCATCTACATATCCGTTAAATTCAATGATATTAACATTGTAGTTATAATTTCCTAAAGTTTAGTACACTGTACTTTAGAGGTTTTCTTATTTTTATGGGAGTGTAGGGTCACAAACTAGCAAAAGGGAACAAGTAAATCCTAAAATTCTGTTCCATGATTAACTTTATTTTGTTAGTATGAATTTAAATGTTCTCTGGTCATTAGTGGTTTTTGTTTTTTACAATGAATGATAAGATGATAGTAATTTTATTAGGTTTCTGTTCACTAACCAATACATGTTTGAGGAATTTCTCTAAGGAGCAAAGCATTTAGTACACCTTTTTTGCCAAATAGTAGGTAGTACCCCTGAGTAAATTTAACCCTTAATGGCAAGAGAAGCACATTAAACTGGTCCCTAGGTGGAAAGGTTAAGTGGAGAGGGTAAATATTAACTCCCATGAAACAGAACAGGGAACCATCAGAAAACATCAGGGTCTTCTCTGGTCTCAGGTGAAAGCCAGAGGTTCTATGAAGAGTGTATCTTGATTCTTTGCCACAAATTTTGTGGGACTGGAATCATTACAGTGAAGTGCACTTCAAGTGTGAATTCAGAGCTGAGTACCTCCCTGGCTTTAACCTATCCTTAGAAAATGAGAGGACATGAACATGACAGCACTGTCAGGCCAGAGCCCTTCTTACTATTGCCTTTTAGCTCTTAGTACTGCCAGTGTACTTCCCTATATGAGAGGATTCTGCTCTGCCTCCGATACCAGTCAGACATTATCTTTTCTTTATAGTATGCCTGATCCTTATTAAGCTAAGCAATGAGTATAATGCAATACAATTAGTGGTGGGAATGTGAAGAAGGAAAATGTAAAATAAGTAAAATTTATGCAAGATAAAGGAAACAAATATCAGGGAAAATCTGTGCACATAGAATAGTCAGTAGTCATCTATACTAATAAAAGGGTAATGTGCTAATTAGGCCAGGAGACCTTCCTGCCATCCTTCTGGACAAAGTCATGGTGGCGGGGCCAAGGCAGAGGTGGTTGGGGGCAAGCATGCTGTCAGTGGCTGGCAGTTGGGGTGATCAGGCCAGCAGGAGGACAGTTGGGGGCAACCAGACCAGCATGGGGAGGCAGTTGGGGGCAACCAGGCCAGTAGGGGAGGGCAGTTGGGAGTGATCAGGCCGGCACTGGGGGACAGTTGGGGGTATCAGGCTGGCGGGGGGCAGTTGAGGGCAAGCAGGCTGGCGGGGGAGGGGCAGTTGGGGGTGAGCAGACAGGCAGTGTTTAGGGGCAATCAGGAAGGCAGGCAGGTGAGCAGTTAGGAGCCAGCAGTCCTGGATTGGGAGAGGGATTCCAGATTGGAGAGGGTGCAGGCCGGGCTGAGGGACACACACACCCATTACACAAATTTTGTGCACTGGGCCACAAATCTGTATAATAAAAGCCTAAGTGACCATTACGGAACAACTGGTTGGTATGATGTGTACTGACTGCCAGAGGGCAGACGCTCAACACAGGAGCTACTCTCTGGTGGTCAGTGTGCCTCCCACTGGGGGAGTGCCACTCTGGCTGGCAAGTGCAGTGGCGGTGGTAGGAGCCTCTCCCGCCTCTGAGGCAGCACTAAAGAACAGTGTGCAAAGTGGTAAGGAGCCTGCCAGTAAGGATCGAGGGATCCCGGGTTGCTAGAGGGATGTCTGCCAAGGGGTCCCAGACTGCAAGAGGGCTCAGGCAGGGCTGAGGGGATTCTCCCCCACCCTGTGCACAAATTTCATGCACCAGGTATCTACTAGTAATCATAAAACAAGAGATGTGTCTTTGCCGATACCTAGAACTCACTGTAAACCACTTTAATTAGGTAACTTATTAGGTTGAGAACTGAATGTCTATAAAAGACATAATCTGGTTTATGACTCACTCTAAGACAAATGCTGGTTTTAGTGCTCAAAGAAATAGTTCTTTCACATAATCTAAAATGAGACAAATGAAATAATATGTATTTTAAATTCTGAGTAAGAACCAGAGAGCAGAGAAACCCAGTGCTAATTAATGAAGGAAACATTGGTAATGTAAGAAAAGTTATACCTTAGAATTAGGTTATGGTACACACAGTAACTGTGAAGTTCAGTAAAGAAATACATATAGGTATCAAACTGTGCATTTTTGTTCTAAGTAACAAAATAGAAAAATTTTGGACCAGGACAGATTGTAACAGAAACTTTAAGATCTATCACTAATCCTGCAGATATCCAGAATTCTTTTTTAATTTGTGAAATAATGTGCAACACATTTCCAGTTTATAAGCATTTTTAGTATAAACTGATGGTATGTCTCTTAAACCAAATTACATCTTCCTTTTTCTCTTTCCCCCCCGTCAGGAAACTTACTGGACATTCTTTCCACATTGGCTATAGCATGGCAATTTTGAACGGCATTGTAGCTGCTCTTACTGTTGCATGGTGCCTCATGTAAACCTACACTGAAACAATATTCTTGGCAAAGCTTAGTCAAGATTGCTTTGAAGTACCAGGGAAGAACATCATTGCCTACTCAGAAGACCAAGAAGCCTGCTGTTCGTTATGTGATTCAGATGTCTGCCAAATCATCATTATGGAAGACCTTCTTAAGCATCGTTCTAGAGTTTAGGCACTGGGTTATCTGAATATTAAGTTTCAAGTAGTTTCTTAAAATTATAAGATGTTTACCTTATCACTTTTGTGTGTGTTATTTTTCTAAGCTGTAGAAAGCATTTTAATGGAAATCAAACTGGAAAACTTGAATACAGCATATATCTTTCCATGTATATACTAAGAAATGCTGATAATACTGTTTGAGATAGAAGTATCTTAATTATTATGTCAGGAAAGCAAACAATGCCCACAACTTTTACATTTTATAGAAGCTACTTTTAAATCGGAATATTTAGTTGTGTGTTTTTTTTATATTCATATAATGAATAGATGGTGCATTTATATATTTTAATGGTGCATAGTTTCTTGCGTGTTTTTATTTACATATTTCCTACCACATATTAAATTTGTATGCTTTAAAAATTATTACATCTAGACAAATATAAATGTTATTCTTTAGCTGGTCCAAACTTAATACCTACCATTTTTAAATATGGCTTATTTTATTAATTTTAGAGAGAGTGGGAGAGGGAGAGAGATATTATAGAAGCATCAATGAGTCAGAAACATCAAAATTGAAGAGCTTGCTTCCTGCATGCCCCCTAATGCAGATGAAGCCAGCAAACCTGGGCATGTACCCTGACCAAGAATCAAACCTGTGACCTCTTAGTACATGGGTCTTGTTCAACCACTGAGCCACCCCAGGTATAAAATATTCTGTCTTTAAGGAAAAAAAAAAAAAAAAGCATATTGACCTTAGTTTAAAATTAAGTAAACTTTTTAACAAAAAAAGTCTGATAAAAGGTAACTTATATAAGCCATTAAAAAAGTGAGAAATTTGAAGCTGTTCACTTTGTTTCCACAATTCCAATTTTTTTTTTCCTGGTTTATATATGGTTACTTGAACAGAACTGATTTATTTTGGTTTTAATAAATATCAACCCTGCTAGCAAGCACTTAATAACAAGGGGAACTTTAAATGATACATTTTATGTCATTGTAACCAATAAAAACTTAAAAAATTAACCTAGCATTTTTATATTAGAAATGTTTGAACTTGTTGGTTTTTTATCTCAAAAAAAATATAGTCACCAATAATAGAAAAGGTATTTTGATACAGTGTATAAATAATTTTCTATATATAGTTTTATAGTTTTCCTATTTAAATGTTCTTCTATAATTGTTTTTGTTTGTATAGTAATTAAGCCTTAATTCCCATTTTCTAAATATGTATTTAGAAAGTCATTTCAATTTTTAAAAGATGGACTATTTAAAATGCTGTTTTCCCTATCCATAGAAAAACTTATATTTAGGAAAGCATTATAAAGTAAGTAAAACTGGTTATTCAGGCTAAATGTGAAATGAATATGTACAGTCTGTTTCTGTTGTCTGCTGAGTGTTGTTACTGAATAAATGATTTAATGATGTTTCTAAAAGTCCTAACTTTTTACTACACTAATATGGTTGTATTTGTGAATGTACATATAAACATACATATATGCGGAACTATATACTACAAACCCATGGCTTAAGGATTCGATTCTTTTCAGAGTAGATGTTGCAGTGGATCTATTTTCACTGTGTCTTCCTCTCCTTGCCCTTCCCAGCCTTGGCTCTAAAAGGCTCTTCTATTGCAAAAGAATGTGCTCTTCTATTACAAAGGTATGTGCAAGAAACAAAATTAATTTTTCTTCTCTCTATCTCTTCTAATCACTCCCCCAACCCCAACCTGGGTAGTTTCTTCAATATTCTTTGTCAGATAACTAAGAAAAATACTATAGTAGACCCACTCTAAATATATACCTATAAGGTATAGATACATAGAGATAATATTTTTTCTGGAATCATATTTCTTCTGCATTAGCCCTCTTCTTTCTTGAGAAATTATTCTCCTCTCTTTAGTTTATCTAGGGCCCAGATATAAGCCATCCTATTTCCACAGCTGATTGAAAGGTAAGTAACTAACCAAAGGAGATAGGTACCTAGCCAAAGCTGGGCCAATCCTAGTTTCTCATCCCTCCTGGCCATAGTGATGGCTACAGGAATGGAGATCTGACTCATATCAGGCCAGTCTTTTCCCAGGATTTTTCAACTTGAATATAAGGTCTGATGAAGCTGGGAAGGTGATGCAGCCAGGGTTCAGCCAGCCCTAGTGGGAAGGAATAAGGCTAACATGTATGCTTCTAATGACTCTCCTGTACTCCCTGAAGCCCAGTTGTGTCCCTGCCATTCTTTAAATTGGTAACATGAATCAAATTCCTCCCATGGTCTCTGCTATTAATACTGGGTTTTGTCATTTTTAATAAAAGGAATCCAATGAGTTTATCTGGCAGTGGAATCCATCTCTATTATGATACTGACTCAGATCATCTTATCTCTTGTGTAGTTTACAACATTCCATTCAGTGACTTGTGAAGGATGCATTGGATATAAGGGTGCCTTTGGCCACATAAGAGTTTTGGAGTAAAACTAGTTATTAATCTACTTGCTTGTTTCATCAAGAATTGATTATTATGTTCCCAAGTTCAATTCTGTTTTAAGTGTTAACAGAATATTAACTTTACTTATCAAGATAAGATAGTGTGTTTTCTACCTCGCCCTTATCCATGGTTTTTTTCTTCTGCAGTTTCAGTTACCTTTAATCAGCTGCAGTCCCAAAACGTTAATGGAAAATTCCAGAAATAAACATTCAATAAAAAATTCATAAGTTTAAAATTACATGCCATTCTGAGTAGCATGATGAAATCTCATGCCATTTTACCTGGTCATGAATCATCCCTTTGTATGTTATTCACCCCTTAATCATTTAGTGGCCATCTCAGTTATCAGATCAATTGTCACAGCTCCTGTTCATGTAATCCTTATTTTACTCAATAATGGCCCCTAAGTGCAGTATTATTGATGCTGGCAATTTGGATATGCCAAGGAGAAACTAAACAATGCTTGCTTTAAGTCAAAAGGTGAAAGATCTTGATGAGGACAGAAAAAAAATCTCACGCTGAAGTTGCTAAAGTTATGGCCACACTATACGATAAATGCTTAGTTAAGATGGAAAGGCATTAAATTTGTGGGTGGAAGGCATGAACAGAAAATGTGTTATAATTAAGAGCAACGAGTTACTCCAGAAAATGAATTTATTCAAAGACTTCTGCAAGAAATCCCCTGAAATAAGTGAACACATTCACATAGCTTTGATTACAGTGTATTGCTATAATTATACTATTTCATTAATTATTAATCTTTTACTATGCCTAATTTATAAATTACAGTTGATCAAGGTATGTATAAAAAATACATAGTATATATCGAGTTTGGTGCTATCTTGAGTTTATGCATCCAGAGGGAGTCTTGGAATGAATTCCCTAAGGATAAGGGGAGACTACTATATAATGAGTCTTTAGTTCAATGAGTTTTAAATACAGTACTATTACTTAATAACAGTGCTTCTCAGTTTCCTTAACTGTAAAATGGGAAGATTACCCGTTCCTTACCTTTTTTACTGACACCAATCATTTTCCAAGCTCCTAACAATTCCGCCAATTTCTAATTCACTCCCATGAATATGCATAACCTTTATTTTATACCATATTATCACAACTGGGAGGCCACGGATGCAGCTAAACATGGTACAGTTCCCAGGATAGCTCCCCAGCAGAAAGAACAACAGCTAAAATGCTAATAGTACCAAGGCTGAGAAGCCCTGTCTAGGACTAGATGAGTCAGATAGCATCCTATTCAGAATGGACATCTAGGGTCACAAGGTTACCTGGATCCCAGGTGTTCATTCTCAAAAAGGTAAAGTTGAAAGAGCTATTTCTCAAAAGGAAAGATTCATTAGCTTAAGAGGAGTTGTCTCTGTGCCATTCCCCTATGGGCTCTGTCTGGCAAGGGCCTGTTTTCATACTCAAGGGGAAAAAATGTGTCCACAAACTTCATATACAAAAATTGTATTGTTGAATTGGAAGCTGAGACCACATTTGACCATTTCAAGTCCATTAGAGCACTGAGTACACAAGCCAAATCGGTGTTAAAGTACTGATTGACCGATTGATATCCACTGAGGGGTCATCAAATCACGGCTATACAGTGGGAGTCAGGAGTCTGGACAAAAACCTCAAGGCCCTGAGTTGCTTCCTTGTTAGACTCACATTTAGTTAGTGGAATATTACAACCTACATAGACAGGGGCTCAAATCCCTCAGGAATAAGATTTTGGTTACCTCATCAGATTTAAAAATCTGTACCTATTAAGAGTTTTAGATGAAAGTCAAGGGGACATGGAATAGACATAGGACAAAAGTAAAATACTACCATGTTTCCCTGCAAATAAGACATCCTCTGAAAATAAGACCTAGCGCATGGAAAGATAAGACATCCGCTGAAAATAAGACCTAGCGCAACTTTGGGAGAAAAAATTAATATAAGACACTGTCTTATTTTCGGGGAAACAGGGTAGCTAGTATCTCATGACTAGTTTCAAAAATAAAGAGCTATAGTCTCTACCCATATTTTTTATGGCATCTGTGTATTTTATCTAATTCTTTTTTTCCTGTTTCTGTCATTGTACATAGGATTTTGGGCATTAGCTATCTACAAAGTAGTACATAGATTGCAGGATACTGTGATGGGATTCCTGTATAATTTGGAAGGAATCAACATTTCCCTGAGATCCTGGACATGGAACTGAATGTAGTAGCCTGTCAGGCTGCTGATTGTCTGCCTATGTGTGGAAGGGTCTATGCATTCTCAACTGAATGAGAAATGGTTGTGCTACATTAAATGGGATGATTTTTGAAGTATAATCATGGGAAAGAGTGGGTAGGTGTATACTGGACAAGCAAAG